GAGATATAAGAGGAAAGAAGACAGGCGTTCGGCTGATACTTGCGATTCCTTGTCCGTGGTTATTCATCTGAAGTTGCAGAGACAGAAACAGCAAGCTTTCAGGAAACCGTCTAACTACAAATGCCTCCAGAAGAAGGAAGAGGCTGGCTAGATTGGAAGAGTCATGATAAAAGGGACTTTTTCTTGTTTGCACCACTATCTAGTAGCATTTGGGAGGGTGTTGTGAGGGTGGGGTTAGGCAATAAGGGAGTGTGTTTTCTACACGGAAGTTAAAACAATAATAAAACCAACCAAGAGGATCTGTTTTCTGTCATTACCATGTGTTGGCAATGCTTAACGAGATCAGGGATGAAATTCTCTTCAACTTGAGGGCAGACCCCTCCTAGCGCCCTCCTCCCACTGACACTATGCCCCTGTGCAGCACCAGGCACATAGCAGGTATGAATCACGGAAAAGACGCTAAGATGGAAAATAAGAATATGAAACACTCCCCTCCCCCATGATTCCTTTGTTGCTTTTCCTATTGATTTTTTTAAAACATGAAACCGTAGTGTCAACTTCCCATAGTATTTTGTACATCTCTGGTCCTTATTAAAATCCTGTGCCGTCTTTTGGATTCCACAGCTCAGGAAGAATATCCATTCAATGAGGACGGAGGAAAGTAATGAACAAGGACTGGCCAGCCAGACGTGGATAAAATTCTGAAAGCCCTGAGACTATGGACCCTAACAAGACAAGGTTGAAGAGTTGAAGTCTTTGCACACAATGTGGTATATTCAGTGTAGGGTGGTTATCAGATTAACTCCCTTTTCCCAGAAGCATGGTGGATTTAGATTCTATGGACTTAATAGATAACAGAGGTTCTTTGTCAGGGATGTCTTTCTAGCATCAAGGAAAGTGGAACCCTGTAAATGAATTCCAGAAGTCTTTGTTTATCAGGAGAAAGAAGTGTGTTTTCCACTAAATTCAATTTTTAATGACTGTTGCATACTTTCTGAAGCATTAAATTCACCTATATACTACTTCGATGACAGAGGAAGAATCATGCACAAGGTAAAAGCCAATGGAAAACTTTGGTGATAATGGTGTGTCAATGTAGGTTGGTTGATTGCAACAAATGTAGCACTCTGATGGGTGACATTGATAATGGGAGAGGCTGTGCATGTGTGAGGGCAGAGGGTATCTGGGAACTCTGTACTTTCTGCTCAGTTTTGCTGTGAACCTAAAACTGCCCTAAAAATAATCTTTTAAAATACCAATGTGGGAGGGGAAGAACTATTGCCACTGCATAAAAATAATTAGTTTCACTTGCATAATGCTTTAAAACTTAGCTACTGCTGGGCGCAGTGTCTCACGCCTGTAATCCCAGCACTTTGGGAGGCCGAGGTGGATGGATCACCTGAGGTCAGAAGTTTGAGACCAGCCTGACCAATGTGGTAAAACCCCATCTCTATTAAAAATACAAAATTAGCCGGGTGTGGTGGTGGGCACCTGTAATCCCAGCTACTTGGGAGGCTGAGGCAGGAGAATTGCTTGAACCCAGGAGGTGGAGGCTGACAATGAGCCAAGATTGCACCATTGCACTCTAGCATGGGCAACAAGAGCAAAACTCCATCTCAAAATAAATACATAAATAAATAAATAAATAAATAAAATAAAAATAAAACCTAGTTAGGTGGTTTCATTCTCTTATATCATCCTGTGAAACTAGAAGGACAGATGTTCTTATTTCCATTTTTCGAGATGAAGAAATTAAAACTCAGAGAGCTAAAGTAAGCATTCAAATTAGGTCTGAAAATGAGTCTTCTGATTCTAAGTCTTATGACCCACTAATGCACTTTCCACCTGTATCTATAACAATCCACAAGCTTTTAGAGACAAAAGAAATCTTATTTTTGTCCCAGGGTAGATACTCAAAGTAAACATTTTATGGATTATCAATGTAGTTAAAACATTAGCATAAGAAAAAGAAATGTAACTAAAATTATGACAGAAAAGAACGATTATCCAAATTATAAGGTGCTAATATCCTTTTAAAAACTTCAGAATGGGCCAGGCACGGTGGCTCACTCCTGTCATCCCAACACTTCGGGGCGCCAAGGCAGCAGCAGGATTGCTTGAGCCCAAAAGTGTGAAACCAGCCTGGGCAACATAAGGAGATCCTGTCACCACAATAAAGTAAAATAAAATTAGCCAGGCATGGTGGACAAACCTGTGGTCCCAACTACTCGGGAGGCTTAGTTGGGAGAATCACTTAGGCCCAGGAGGTTGAGGCTGCAGTGAGCCATGATCACACCACTGCACTCCAGCCTAGACAACAGAACGAGACTCTGTCTCAACACAAAACAACAAAACACCAAAAAACTCCAGAGTGATAAGTGGACTATTCCTAAATCACCAACATTAATGGGCCTATGCCAGTAATGAAGGAGAACAGAAAGTCTCATAGTAGATCAGACAAATTCCTGATTTCCCAGGATTGGGAGGTCCAGAAAGAAACCATAGGGAACACAGGGACAAAAATAATGCTTTGCCCACCAATATTGATGTGTCTGGGTCTTAGGATACAGGCTTAGGATAAAGGAAGTGAGGTTTTTGTTTGTTTGTTTGTTTGTTTGTTTTTTAATCCAGTGAGCTGGGTCTTAATATAAAGTCAGTGAGTTTCTGTACATCAGTTTTAATTTCCTAATAATTATAGTAGCAATAACCAGTGCTTATTGAGAACTTACTTTGTGCTGGATTTTGTTCTAAATCCAATGTACTTTTCTTAGATTTTTAAGTGAATAAAAAATTAACTTTGCAATATCATAATAACCTTTGAAGTAATCAGAAAGTGCCTGGCTTTACAAAGATCTGGGACTTGCCATTCTTGGTTCTCAAATGCTGGTGCTGGCATCACTGAGAGGGCATAAAGTGAAGGCCTGACAGCCATCCTGTGAATGTCAGACAGCTCTGGACCCACAGAGGAATGTAGACATTCCCTTTTAAAACAATAATTTAACTATGTTAAGGCTCTAGCTCATTTTCTCATTATTTCAAAAATCTGATTTTTTTTTTGAAACAGAATTTCATTCTTGTTGCCCAGGCTGGAGTGCAATGGTGTGATCAGCGCTCACCGCAACCTCCGCCTCCTGGGTTGAAGGGATTCTCCTGCCTCGGCCTCCCGAGTAGCTGGGATTACAGGCACCCGCCACTTTGCCTGGCTAATTTTTGTATTTTTAGTAGAGACAGAGTTTCATCATGTTGGCCAGGCTGATCTTAAACTCCTGACCTCAGGTGATTTGCCTGCCTCAGCCTCCCAAAGTGCTGGAATTACAGGCATAAGCCACCATGCCCGGCCAAAAATCTGATTTTTAAGGAGCTTTCACTGCCATACAATTCTGTAATGTTAAGCTTCTTCCATGTTGCCAACAATTTCAAAGAGCAAAAGGCAGGTATGTAAAAATCACTGAGGGTGGTTTGTAGCATCATTGAAGGTGCTCATTAGGGATAGAGTAATAAGATATTTAAGATATTTATGGAGGTTTAGTAGTGATCTGAGCCCTATACCAGACATATATAGTTACAGATTTCCAGGTAAGGTCAAAACATGGGGAAAATATACCTTTGTAATATTCCCCCTGGCATTTGTTTTCTCCACCTGCTTGTTACTCTCTCTCTCTCTCTGTCTCTCTCTCTCTCTCTCTGTCTCTCTCTCTCTCTCTCAGAGACAGGGTCTTGCTCTCGCTTGTTGCCCAGGCTGGAATGCAGTGGTACAATCATAGCTCACTGCAATCCTGAAATCCTGGGCTCAAGCAATCCTCTCACCTCAGCCTCTCAAGTAACTAGGACTACAGGCAAGCGTCACCAAGCGTGACCTGGAATCTCTTTTAAATAGGATAGAATCCTTTCTGAACTGGCAAAGAATCTTAACATGAAAATGCCTAGGGGGGTGATATTGACCTAAATCTACAATAGGTATAGACTTTGGCATCAGAGCTGAGGTTTGTCTGAGTAAGACTGTGTGGTGTGATGTGAGGAGAGATTTGGGATGGTGAATTCTTAAGTAAGGTTTAGGGGGAGATGCAGAAAAAGGGTCCAAAGATAAACATCTGACTGCCCCAACCACTGCCTAATAATCAGTATTCCCTCGCGATGCTCAGGCTTCAGGGATTGCCCAGTGACAAGTGACTGCAGTCTGGAAGCATTTAAGATGACTGGCACCAGACTTCTGGCGAACACAGAGGGACAGCATTTATCCTGCCTGAAGGTTTATTCCATTTATTCCAACAGAAGTGTGATATCTCAGGCATAGGCTCAAGTCCTCTCCTCTCTGGGTATCCACGAGTGATTGCTGCCAACCACTCAGTACCTCCAAGGTCACAGCAGAGCTCTGCAGAGCAAGTCCCCAACCTGCTGAACCATCAGTCCTTTTTCCTTAGAACACTTCCCATGTCCTGACAAAACAATTCTCTAATCAAAACACCCCCAACGTGGTCATTTCTATCCTCACAAAAGATAATATAATTTAAATGCAATTGTGGAATGCTAAACTACACCCAAACCCCAAAGCACTAAAATGTTCTATCAAGTAGAGCCACCTAGCGGTAAAATGGAGCATTTTTTTTAAATTCCCATTTATTTTTTCACTCTAGTTTACAGTTACCCACTTTAAGACTGTCGCCTCCATCTGTTTTCCTTACCAAACATCTATTTATCCAAGGTAAACAAACCTACAGTTTGTCATAATTGGAAAGTTTTATGACTAAAACAGAAGCTGAGGCAACAGTGTCTCCTTAGAAGGGCAAGAAAATGTCAATACTAATTTATTTCTAAAGATAAAGAGCCCTAGGATATTTACTTTATAGCCTTCTATTTTCTGTAACACACTTCCTCTTCTCCACACTATGCACATAGCCACCCATGTACATGGTCTCATACAATTTATAGGCACGGAAAAGCCTGGTTCCCAATCCCCTCCCTGCTATATACATATAATCTGTGGCAGAAACGAGAAGTACCTTGGGTTGTGATTTGATTCCTTCTCTTCCTTCAAGGTAGGTAAACATTCATAGTCGGCTAGGACAGAATAAAAGCAAACTCATTGTTAGTTACTGAAATTGTATCTTCTATCCACAATCCTGATACAGTTGAATACCATAGTTCTCTGATCTGTGTGGTTACTTGCACAAAAATGGCCTCACCAAGGAGTGACAGTGGTGAAAAGATTAATGATGTCAAGGTTCTTGAAATGGAAAAAGCGCTAATAACACAGAGACAAAACTTCAATGTGCCTCTGACCCCGCAGAGGACACAATTCATCACTGCTTGGTTATTCTGTCCCTGTAGCACCCCAGTGCTCCAAAAGCTGGAATCTGCACGTCTCAGGATAGACGCTGGAATAAGATGGCTTCGCCTGAGGTTCCAATGTGTCTGCAGAATGATTTCCATCAGATTGCGTGGTAGACAAGAATTGGGTAAAGTGGGAAAACAACCAATCTTCCTATGGTCATGAGTTCCTTTCTATACACCACTCGTTATTTTTAAGGGCAAAAAAATTCTTTGATTCTATCACCTATATGTCAAAATAACTCAGCTTTAGTTGTCGAATAGAAATGCCTTTTCCAGTTTTCTGGTTTTAGTGAGTATGACAGAATCATGATTTTATATTTCACAAAATCTCTGGCACAAAACGTAATGCAGCAACATAATAAGAAGAGATTGCCTTTCTGTAGTGAATTTTTTTCTTCTACTTTTTTTCTGCATTTTAAAAATTCTACTATGTATGCATATTACTTTTAGCAACTGAAAACAACAAAATGAGATTCCTGAAGTACTGTCTCAATGACCCGCCCCATCCTCAAATAGAATGGCTTTACAGAGTCCTTCTTTCCTGTTAGAAATTGTACAGGTTAGCTGAGTGGCTCTTTTTTGAAATCACATCTTGATAAGCCTCTGGTAGTAATAATTCTTTGTTTGTTTGTTTGTTTGTTTGAGATGGAGTCTTGCTCTGTCACCCAGGCTGGAGTGCAGTGGTGTGATCTCAGCTCACTGCAAACTCTGCCTCCTGGGTTCAAGCTATTCTCCTGCCTCAGCCTCCCTAGTAGCTGGGAGTACAGACATGCGCCACCACACCCAGCTAATTTTGTATTTTCAGTGGAGATGGAGTTTCACCATGTTTGCCAGGCTGGTTTCGAACTCCTGATCTCAGGTGATCCACCTGCCTTGGCCTTCAAAAGTGCTGGGGTTATAGACGTGAGCCACCGTGCCTGGCCTGGTAGTAATAATTCTTATAACCAGTCTCTGAATTTTCCAACTCTACTAGAGAGTGTTGAATTTGACAGACTCTAGGGTATTTTGTTTTAAAGATAAATGGTAAAAAATACAAACGATATGATAATGCTGGGTTTTTATTAATTTAATCTAAGTAGTAAAAATAATTAATTTTTAAAGGGAATTTAAAAAAGAAAAAGCAGCTGTCATCATTTTAAAGTCCCATTATTGATTTACTAAAAAGTAAGGAACATATACTTCCATTACTGCCAGATATCAATTGTAAATTGTCATATGGGGTATGTGTATCACCATCTACATGAGCAATGTCCAATAGAGCATTCTAAAGTGATAGAAATATTCTACATTACACTGTCCACTTAAGTAGCCATTGGCTACTAAACACTCAATATTTTTAACTTTAGTCTTAATTAATTTAAATTTAAATAGCCACATTTGGTGATTGTCTATTATGTTGAACAGCACAGATCTATGGCTACTACATTTGATAAAGTTTTATATCCATAGTCAGTTTAAACTTATAGATCTCTAAATTCTGTAATGTATAAGTTAATGCCAAATGCTAACTTTTTCCAGATCATTTGGCCTCAGAGATTTCCTTTCTTGAGTAAAATACCATTTTCTGCTTCAAAAAGACCATTTCAACAACTTGTACAGAAATAAAAACAAGTGGCAACAATTAAGCTGAATATTTAAATATTGTCAGACCAAGTTTATTATCTGCATGTACCAGATCTAATGTGGGTTTGGGCTCTGTCTCACTCCAGGATTTATTGAGATATTTATAAAGCTGTTGCAGCCTTCTGTTACTAAAGAGGAAAGGAAAAAAAAAAAAACTTTAGGTTACCACATACCATTTCTATTCATGCTGTTCATCCATTTATCAAGCTCTTCCATTTCAATTTCCATAACAGAGGGTGTGTCTTCCTCAAAAATAGGGCTAGAAATAGAGAGCAAAAGGCTTGTTGGAAAGAAGTGTGAAATGTGTCTGATTTCATTTGGAAAGAGACTAGAGTGCTGATCCTGAGGAAGATGAACTTGATTCAGTGCCTTATGCTCTAGGGAAGCCTGAGGGCTTGCCCTTGTCCAAACTATCAAACTTCAGTAGGAAGAAAGGCTACCACACAAACATACATTTATCACAGGTCCAAAAGTGGGGTGCCAGCAAGTGGACTAAAAAGGGAACCCAGGAGACTGACTGCTCCCCTGAAGGTACAAAGTCAAGTCTGCAAGGCTCACAGGGTGAGGCCCTTCCGGGGAGTTGCCACATTAAGCATTTTAGCCTTGCTTAATTTCACTTCCTCTTCCTTGGGGTTTTTTTGATCTGTGCCCCAGGTCAAGAGGCCACTGTCAACAGGCTATAGTTATCATCTGTCCCTTCAATTCCCCGGCCTTTCTCTCTTGGAGAAATGGAGCAGTTGCTTTCAGAAATTCCCCGCCCTCACTTGCAGAAGCTCAAAGTGCACAGTCAAGGGACAGAGCCCATGGTTAGTGGAGATGGGGCGGGGGAAGGAGGGACCACCAGCTCTGAAAGCAGCGTAGGCAGTGCACTGTGTAGAGGAAGCCACAGAGTTTCTAAACCAGGAGGCTGCTTGGAAGGTGGGGAGGGGATGGCATCACCCCAGAACATGCTCTGAGTGGAGGCTTGTTTTTCTCTCTCCCACCCCTCCTTCCCTCCCTCCTCTCCCTTCCTCCTGCTCCTCCCACTCTTCCCTTCTTCCTCCTCTCTCTCTCCCATCCCTGGGGGTTCTTGCTGTGCGAACTTCTGCTTCGACCAGGGCTCCCCTGCTAAATACCAGCTCAAGTATCTTTCCCGGTGATAAAATTTCTAATCAGAGTAAATGAAACGACATCTTGAAATACAACTAGGGATGGAATATTTAACTGCTATGCACTTGAAATTGGCAGCAGTCAGGATTCTTTCCTGAACGTAGGACAACGAATAAAGCAGATGACACACTGTCCTTGCCCAGATCACACTCACACGCTGGACAGGGTTTGGGGATGCCAGCACATCCTCCCTTAGGCTACCAGGGATCTCCAGCCCAGCCTGGGAAGCAGGAGAGCTCCGCAAGGTGTCAGAACAAAAACACCTGAAAAGGCAGCTGTCTGCCCTAACTGTTGCTGTTCACACCCCAGGTGGATCAGAAGCAGCAGGGAAAACTTACACTTTCACGTTTTCATTTCCCAGTTCATCTAAAAGGAAATGAACATAAAGGTCATGTTAGCTTTGTTCTTCTGTAACAACTTTTAATCTCAACAACAGCTGAAGTCTGCTTTACAAAGAGAGCAAAATGGCATTAAATAATGTTTTTCAAGGAGCGATCATTAACTTAGAGTTAAACAAGTGTGGATTGCCATATTGAAACGAGGTCCTAATCCCTGTGAAATCTGCTTTCTTTTAGATGTGGATGGTCAGCTGAGAACACTCACTTCAGATCAGATGTTCATCTGTCTTTATTTTTTACATCCACAAGAAGAGGAAAACAGTGGTAAGGAAAGGCAAGGGAGGGTGAAACAAGAGGGCTTGCTCCTTGGCCTCCTTCAGTAAAATGTCCCAGATCTAAAGGTTGCTGCTTTATTTCTTGTGATACACTATGCTGAGCACTGTGGCACTGTGCCTCACTCCTGGCAGAGGATGTGGACTCTTCCATCAAGGGCTCCCCTTGGAATTTTCCTTTTACCCCTGCTCTTTGCATGGCTGGATCCCTCACATCCTGAGGGTCCCAGCTTAAATACTCTTTCCTCAGGGAGGCCTTCCCCACCTCCTCTATATAAAGCAGGGCCCATCTTTCCTGTTGCTCCCCAGCTCAGCACCTTGCTTGCATCCTTCATAATATTGGCCACAATTTCTCATTGGTCAACTCGTCTGTTTGATTTTTTTTTTTCTGTCTGTCTCTCTCACTGGACCATAAGTACAAAGGGGCAGGGATCGTGTCTGTCTTACTCATTGTGGTGTCCCCTCAACTCTGAGCCAGCTAGCACAGTATCTGGTAAATGCCTAGTCAATATCAGTGGAATAAATGATTAGGTGTTAACCTCAATTGTCCAGCACTGGGGTTCAACTCATGTCCAGTATTTTGGACTTAGCATAGTGAAACTTCCAAGAAGCCTGTTTTTAGTTCCCGTTGGTTGAGGTGAGAGTCAGGTAACTGTTTACAAAATGCCTCTAACGCACATCAGACTCCAAATGAACAAGTGGTGAGAATTGGAGCCTGATGTCCCAGCTGAAGCCCTGTTTCATTTGGCAGGAGAACCAACACATCCAGAGAAATGAGGCAATGATGTTGAGTGGATAGCATAGGCCTGCTGCACGATTTATGATGTGAAAATGATTGAAAAACAAACCATTTTGTAGGGTCCACCCAATAGTCAGAGGTTTCTGATCCTTGGCAATCAGAGGCCTCCTACTGTCTGTCCTGGAGAAATGGAGGTCCTCAGTGAAGGAACACAACCAGCAGACACCTGGAACTGAGTTCCTGGCGGCAGTGAGCTGCTGTAATTTCCTGTGGGTTGGCAAGCTTGAATGGCATTGCTAATCCAGGAAAGCTGGGCACAGATGTATGTTTCATGCCATCACTGCTTGCCTTCCAGGAGCTGCAGGCTACGTCCTCTTGCCCTCCAGTAGGAATCTAAAGCTTCCTGCAGATGCCTGACTCCTCAGAAACTTAGATGGGAAAAGGAGAATACACACACACACATTCACCACAAACACACACTTTCTATCTAAAATATACAGGCCATTTCCTTAAGGAATTTTACTATAAACAAAGCTCCTACGCAATTGAACATCCCTACAGGGGACCCATAAAGATCCTCCTGTTTTGTCACCCCCTCCTCCTCCCTCTCCCTTTTTCCCTGCTGAATAACCCCTGACTAATTTCCCAGAGAGCAAGTGGCTGCATGGCCCCACCATTGTGGGCATGGATTTATCTTTATAATCTGGGTTCCCCACAGGCTTCAGGGTGAGCAAAAGCTAGCCTGCATGCAGATGAAGGAAAACTTTTAAAAGCCATTACAAAAGTGCTCCAGATGCACCAAATGTGAAGCTCCTGTAATCAGTATTAAAACAGAGCAAAAAGCTTTCTGTGGCCTCATCTTCCCTGCTCCATGGCTATTACCTCTGCTCCAGCCACCATGGCAACAGAAAAGCATCTGGGAGGGCACACAAAGAGCAGAGCATTAAACCAGGAGGGAGACCAATTACTTGTCCTCAGCAATCAGGCTCTGCCCGCTCCACTCCACCGGCCTACGTCTATTTACGAATAGCCACCAATTCCCTTTGCAACCAGGAGGCAAATGCAGCTCTTACAAAGCTCCATCTCAACCCCCCCCATTCCATTTTCCCCCCAACAACCCTTCCATTTCATCTCCTCCGACCCACTTTGTCCTCCTCCTTCAGTTCCTACGTGACCCCCACTTAGCCTGACAGTACCCTCCTCTCAGATCCTCTCCTTTGTGCATTCGACAGTGGGGTTGTCTGGTGGAGGCTAGGGGAGGGCAGGAGCTACAGGAGCCTCTGTCTTCCTTATCTTGTTTCCATGCTGAGCAGTGAGCAAGAGAAAGGGTCTCTTTCCAGAAGATTTACTGAGCAAGCCAGGCATCATGTAGCCACAGCCTGTTTAAAGTAGTTTATTGCCAGCTGATTCCCCTGCAGCTCTTTCAGAGAGACCTCGCACATCAAGACACTGCAGATTTAATGCCGGGAGGTCTAGGAAGAATGATAGCAGAACATCACGTTACTACACCATGTTTCCCTTTCCCTGGACATGAAATGGACAAAGCCCAAAGGAAAAAGTAATTTCCAATCAGATGAAGTGTTCTAAAAGTTTTGGCCAAATCCTCTCCCACTGTCAGATTTAAAGACTTATTTCCTGGTATAGTATAACAGACCAGGCTCTATCCATGTGGGGTAAGAAACAGTATGTCTGTTTCTAACTTTCCCAGGGGACATAGCGTGCAGGTATCCATGCCCTCCTGTAAAGCATTTCTGTGGGAGCTTTCGAAGCAACATACTGCTCTGGGACCTTCCATGATAATTGTATTTTACCTGAAAAAAATCACATTTTGCTAATGTAAATATTCTGCTTTTATGAACTGTGAGCATTCAGTTTTTCTGAAATGATATCCCTCTGTTAAGCAGCTAGTGATCATGTCTGTATTAAAGCATTGGCTGATAAGAGAAAAAAATTCAGATAAAACTCTCTATCAAAAATTTTCGTGATAAGCCAATTGTTTTGAAATTCTAAGTTTTCTCTGTTGTGTTTTTTAAAGTTAGGCATATTTAAGGTAAAAACAATGTACCACTTCATAGTAAGGATAATGTACAAATTTGACTTTCCCTCTGAGAGTAGATGTTCTTTAAAAAACATTCTAACATTCTTTAATTAAATCACTTATTCAACAAACAAACAGCTAGTGTGTGTTGGGCTAGGCATTGAGTTAGGTAAAGGGATGATAATAAGCTAGCACTTAGCACTTATGCCAGGTTCTGACTTTTTCTAAGTGATTTGCCTATATAAACCATTTAATTCTCACAACTCTATGAGGTAGGTATTGAATTTGCGCATTTTACAGATGAAGAAACTTAATCAGAGAGTCACAGTGCCAGGAAGTGCAAGCCAACCAAGCAGTGTATGTGGTTTGAGTCTGGACTGTCAACCTCAATGCCACACTGTCACACAACACAAATAAGACCAGTTCTTGGTTCTCTTGGGCCTTAACGACAACATAACCCAGAAAGAAAAGAAGAAAGAAAAGAAAAGAAAAAAGAAAAGAAGGAAGGAAGGAAGCAAGTCACCAACTTATGACAAGGTGAATACTGTGAACAAAGAGTGTGAACAAAGTATTCTGAGAGCACAGAAGAGGTGGTAATTAATTTTGCCTAGGCAAGGATTATTCAAGGCTTCCTAAAAACTGGACCCTAGCAATGGGGTGTGGTTGCTCACACCTGTAATCCCAGTGCTTTGAGAGGCTGAGGTGGGAGGATCACTTGAGCCTAGGAGTTTGAGACTTGCCCGAGCAACATTACAAGATGCCGTCTCTAAAAAACATTTTTTTTAAATATAAAAAACTACCCAGGCATGGTTGCACAGGCCTGTAGTACCAGCTACTCTGTAGGCTTTGGTGGGAGGATCGCTTGAGCCCAAGAGTTTGAGGCTGCAGTGAGCTAGGATTGTGCCACTGCATTCCAGCCTGGGCGACAGAGCAAAGCCCTGTCTCTTAAGCAAAACAAAAACAGACCTGGGCCCTAAAAAATGGGATGGCAGTTTGCCAAGCAGACAAGAAGAAAATTCCAGACGGAAGAAATGGTATCAGCCAGGCATGGAGGCACCCTGAAAGTCAAGTCATGTTCTGGGAACAGCAAATACTTCAAGTGTAGTTACAATGGAGGATACATGGGCCATGTCTGAGGTCGAGGCTAGCTCTCACTTGTAAATGGCTTTTGAACTATGAGACTTTCACAACGAAATTCAATGAAAAATCAGTTTCTGGATTTGGAGCCTAAGAGCCCCACCATGTGAGTGGATACCTCTGACATCCCCCCAACCCTTGACTCCATTAGGTAAAACCAGCCATGGTTTGGGGAAGGAAATCATGACTTTCCCTGAATTCTAAAAAATTTTAAAAGCTCTGTTTGCTTTTTTTTCTTAAGCTTAGAAAGAAGCTTCCATATGACTATGTTATTAGGAAGTCCTGAAATTTCAAGCAGTGGAGAAACATGTGTATTTCCTACTTCCTTGGAATCTATTATGTCAGCCTCTGCCATGAAAGGAAATACTCTTTGGGGTTTCTTTCCCAGCTCACATTTGCCTCAGCTGCTGGCAATGAAAGGTTCCTCTGGCACAGGGACAGTGAGGGAGGCATGTGGGACAAAGGCATGGCCCCAAAGCCAGAGGTGCCCTGTAGTGAGAGTGAGGGACATAAAGTGAGTTTTGTATACATGTATGACTGTGTATTGTATTAGAGATGTTCCTACCCTTTGAGTAACTTTTTGGAAAGACTATAAAGGTTTCAACTTAAAAATCGAATGCGAGCTGAGCGTGGTGGCTCACGCCTGTAATCCCAGCACTTTGGGAGGCCAAGGCAGGCGGATCATGAGGTCAGGAGATTGAGACCATCCTGGCTAACACGGTGAAACCCCGTCTCTACCAAAAATGCAAAAAATTAGCCAGGCGAGGTGGCGGGCACCTGTACTCCCAGCTACTCAGGAGGCTGAGGCAAGAGAATGGTGTGAACCTGGGAGGCGGAGCTTGCAGTAAGCTGAGATGGCGCCACTGCACTCCAGCCTGGGCAACAGAGCAAGACTCCATCTCAAAAAAAAAAAAAAAAAATAGAATCAAGTAATTTTTACTACCACAAGCCAAAAGTACCCAAGTCTGCTTTGGACCTAGAACTACCCTGACCCCTAGCATGTGATGCTTCTTAAATCAGAACTGAATACTCTCAAAGTGGGTCTCTGACTGAGGGAATTTCTATCTAATTGGTTTTCAGATTGATGTTACTAATCTTTAGACAGTTGAAGAATTTGGTCATAAAAGTTAGCATAGCTTCAATAGGAACAAGAACAATGCTTCCTCCAGGACTTTTCAGGATCAAATTGGGATGTGGGGTGGTGGAGAAAATAAAATCTGTGACAGAAATATAGATGAAAGAATGCTCTTCTTGTGGTGATGACCCCAGGGCCTCTAGCCTTCCCATCCCTAACCCTAATCTGACCCACTCCTTGATCAGCCTTTCTCTTTCCCCAGTGACGGGAAATGTTATATTGGCTTATTGGCCAAAATTATACAGAATCGTCGTCTGGAGATGGCAGCAGCAGAAAAGCATCCCCCAGAAATATGCAGGTTGGTCCACACCACTGCGATAAAGTGAGTATTGCAATAAAGCAAGTCACATTAATTTTTTAGTTTCCAAATGCATAAAAAGTTATGTTTTTCCTACAGTGTAGTCTATTAAGTGTGCAACAACATTGTATCTACAGAGAGAATGTATATACCTTAATTTAAAATACTTTATTGCTAAAAAATGCTAATGATTGTCTGAGCCTTCCGCGAGTTGTAATGACTTTTCTGGTGGAGGGTCCTGCCTTGATGTTGATGGCTACTGACTGCTCAGGGTGGCGGCTGCTGATGGTTGGGAAGGCTGTGGCAATGCCTTAAAGGAAGATCACAGTGAAATGTGTCACATTGATTGACTCTCTTTCACAAATATTTCTCTGTAGCATATGATGCTGTTTGATAGCATTTTACCCACAATAGAATTCACGATTGGAGACGATTCTCACAAAACCTGCCGCTGCTCTACCAACTATGTTTATGTAATATTCTAAATCCTCTATTGTCATTTCAACAATGTTCATGGCATCTTCACCAGGAGTAGATTCCATCTCAAAAAAAAAACAAAAAAAAACCCCCACTTTATTTGTTCATTCAGAAGAAGCAATTTCTCAGCCACTTAATGTTTTATCATGAGATTGCAGCAATTCCATGGCATCTTCAGGCTTCACTTCTTATCCTAGTTTTCTTGCTATTTCTACCACATCTGCAGTGACCCTTCCACTCAAGTCTTGAATGCTTCAAAGTCATCCATGGATCTTGGAATCAACTTCTTCCAAAATCCTGTTGATGCTGATATTTTGACCTCCTCCTATGAATCGGAAATGTTCTTAATGGCATCTAGAATGGTGAATTCTTCCCAGAAGATTCCTTCCCAAATTTATCAGAGGACTCACCATCTATGGCAGCTATGGCCTTACAAAATGTATGTCTTAAACAATAAGACTTGAAATTCAAAATGACTCCTTAATCCATGGGCTGCAGAATGGATGTTGTATCAGCAGGCATGAAAACATTAGTCTTCTTGTACGTCTCCATCAGGGCTCTTGGGTGACCAGGTGCATTGTCAATGAGCAGTAACATTTTTAGTGGAATCTTGTATTTTGAGCAATAGGTCTTAATGGTGGGTTTAAAATATTCAGTAAACCATGCTATAAACAAATGTGCTAACATCCAGGCTTGGTTATTCCACTTACAGAGCACAGGCAGAGCAGATTTAGCATAATTCTTAAGAGCTGTCATATTTTCAGAATGGTAAATAAGAATCGGCTTTAACTTAAAGTCACCAACTACAGTAGCTTCTAACAAGGGAACCAGCATATCTTTTGAAGCTTTGAAGTCAGGCAGTGACTTCTCCTCTCTAGCTATTAAAGGCTTAGATGGCATTTTTTTTTTTTTTTTAAGTAGAGACAGGGTTTCACCATGTTGGCCAGGCTGGTCTCAAACTCCTGACCTCAAATAATCTGCCTCAGCCTCCCACAGTGCTGAGATTACAGGCATGAGCCACCATGCCCAGTCAGATGGCATCTTCTTCCAATAGAGGACTGTTTCATCTACACTGAAAATCTATGGTTGAGCATAGCCACCTTCATCAATGATTTGAACTAGGTCTTCTAGATAACTTGCTGCAGCTCCTACATCAGTCCTTGCTGCTTCATCTTGCACTGTTATGTTATAGAAATGGCTTTTTCCCTTAAACCTCATGAACCACCCTCTGCCAGCTTCCAATTCTTCTTCTGCAGCTTCCTCACCTCTCTCAGCTTTTGTAGAATTAAAGAGAATTAAGGCCTTGCTCTGAATTAGGCTTAGGCTTAAGAGAATGCAATGACTGGTTTGATCTTCTACCCAGACCACTGAAACTTTCTCTGTATCAACAATAGTACTGCTTTGCTTTCCTATCATTGTATGTTCACTGAGTAGCACTTTTAATTTCCTTCAAGAACTTGTTCTTTGCATTTGCAACTTGGCTAAATGCTTGGCACAAGAGGCCTGGTTTAAGCCTATCTCAGCTTTCAACTTGCCTTCCTCACAAGGCGTAATCATTTCTAGCTTTTCACTTAAAATGAGAGATATGTGACTCTTCCTTTCATTTGAACACTTAGATGCCATTGTAGGGATATGAATTGGCCTAATTTCAATATTGTTCTGTATCAGGAAATAGAGAGGCCTGAAGACAGGGAGAGAGATGGGGAATGGCCTGTCGGTGAAGTAGTCAGAATACACACAATGTTTATCAATTAAGTTCACTGTCTTCCGTGAGCATGGTTTCAGGCACCCCAAAACAATTACAACAGTAGTATCAAAGATCACTGACCACAGATCACCATAACAGGCATAGCAATATTGAGAACATTTGGAATATTGTGAAAATTATCAAAATGTAATGCAGAGACACAAAGTAAACATGTGCTGTTGAAAAAATGATACCAATAGACTGGTTCGATGCAATGGTTGCCACTTCAATTTGTTTAAAAAAAAAAAAAAAGCAATACCTGTAAAGTGCAATAAAGCAAAGTGCAACCAAACAAGGCATGCCTGTATTTTAAAATTCCATTAAACTTTTTTTAAAGAAAGGAATATGCATATATTCACTTCTGGAAAATTTCATTGAAAAGTATTATCTATTACTTACTATTGTAAGTAGCCCTTGTTGCTTAATTTTAAAATGTCTCTACTCCTTCTCCAATCCCACCCCCAACTGCAGGCAGGTTTTAGGATAATACTCACATGTCTGTAAAGCACTCTGAGATCCTTGGCTAGAAGGTTCTGTATCAAAGCAAAGAATATTTTGTTTTATTGATTTTTCACTAACACATGAAGCAATTTTCTGGAAATGGGAATACACCAAATATTTACCTTGTTTAGTTCTTTTTCTTTTATAGTATGTTGCAAGGAATACCACAGATAAAAGTAAGAGCACCAATAAAATCAAAGGGATCAACACCATCAGTATAAACTGCAACTGATTTTCATCCGGAGCAATGTCGGTAGAATTTATATTTGCAGTTAATGTTTCTGTGGCGGTCACTGCAGCAAATATGCTTGGAGAAGTCACTTCATTTGGTCTTTCGGATTCCTCAGTTGTATCTCCTGAGTGTTCGAATTCCTCAAAATTACCTGTGGGAACAGATACAAAATTGAGATTGCCATGGAGACAAAGTTAGTATGTTATATTGTCAATGATTTTTAAATTATTCCTAGATACATTCTGTGATAAACTTGACCCATTATACCTGGGCTCCAAGCTAAATGTGACACAGAGCATCGATTTAACATAAATGAAGCTCAAGCTGGGAGTGTATTGAACATGGAATCAGAGCTCAGAGAAAAACCTTCCGCAAAGGTAGGCAGTTTTGCATTGACCAGACATTTCAGATGCGCTTAAGCAAAGGGCATTAGGAAGCTGCCCCATGTTAAGGGTGATGTTCCAAGCCAAGTTATGTGATATTACAGGACGTCTCCTGTAGGGTATGATAATATTTTAATAAAATGTCTGAATAAATTTAAGTTCACATTTACTAAAAGTTAAGTACATGCCATACAGCACTTTTAGATGTAAACAAATGCACTCTGTGTCCTAATTTTTTTTTTTTTTTTTTTGAGGCAGAGTCTTGCTCCATTGCCCCAGCTGGAGTGCAGTGGCATGATCTCAGCTCACTGCAACTTTTACCTCCTGGGTTCAAGCGATTCTCGTGTCTCAGCCTCCAGGGTAGCCGGGATTACAGGCACGTGCCACCATACCCAGCTAGTTTTTGTATTTTTAGTAGAGACGGGGTTTTCACCATGTTGGCCAGGCTGGTCTCAAATTCCGTGCCTCAAGTGATCCACCTGCCGCAGTCTACCAAAGTGCTAGAATTGCAGGTGTGTCTTTACTAAAAATACAAAAATTAGCCAGGCATGGTGGCACATGCCTGTAATCCCAGCTACTTGGGAGGCTGAGGCAAGAGAATCGCTTGAACTCTGGAAGCAGAGGTTGCAGTCAGCCGAGATCGTGCCATTGCACTTCAGCCTGGGCAACAAGAGCAAAACTCCATCTCAAAAAAAAAAAGAAAAAGAAAAGGAAAATAAAAACCATCAGGATGGGAAAGGACTACTGACTTGATGACTATCTTTCAAGTGTATTTTATTTTATGAATTCTTCAGATCCAGAATCTGTTTGGTTCTTTTTTATTATCTCTATCTCTTTGGTGAACATCTCTCATTCATACCCTGAATTGTTTTCTAATTTGGGTATTGTTTTTCTGTATCCTCCCATGGTGAAAAACTTTTCCTCACCTGTCTAAGCAGTAGTCATGGTAAGGTAAGCTGAAGGTCTTTTTCCTAATATGATGTAATGTTGCCTACCTTTCAGAAGGGGCCAACTGAAGAAAATACCTTGTAAGTTATCAAATGAGATAATTTATAAGAAATTATAAGAATTTATGAGAAAGTTCTTCTAAGGTGAAAGGAACTATGCAAATAGAGAAGTCAGCTGCTTTAAACCACACTCTGTGGTATAGGTTAGGCAATTACTGCATAGAATGATCGAACTGGACAATGCAGAGCCAATTCAATAGTTCATCTATCTTCATAATCCCGTAACAATGAAGTCCTCTGATTTTGGTTGAAACAAAAATGTTTGGTCACTGCTATGAATTGAATGTTTGTATTCCCCTCTAGTTCATATATTGAAGCCCTAATCCTCAATGTGATGGATTAGGGCTAAGAGGTGAGGCCTTTGAGAGGTCATTAGGTTTAGATGAGGTCATGAGAGTGGGGCCCCTGTGATGGGATTACTGCTCCTACGAGGAGATAAGAAAACCAGAGTTCTCTCTCCTTGCCATGTGTGGATACAGAAAGAAGGTGGCGACTGCAGGCCAGGAAGAGAGTTCTCACCAAATACTGAATCTTCTAGCACCTTTGATCTTGAACTTCCCAGCCTCCAGAACTGCGAGAAATAAATGTCTGTTTAAGTCTCGCAGTTTGTGGTATTTTGTTACGGCATCTGAGCTAAGACAATAAGAATCTAATTGTGTTGATTGTATGAATAAATACTTCAGTCTCCCACGGCAGGGAATTCATTTGATAATCCCTTTAGTAAATGCAACCCCAAACCATCAGAATCAATTACAAACTGCAGAGTAAACTCACTGATGTTTCTCACGTGTATATGCCAAAGGCAGGATTGAAAAAATAACTACAAAGTTTTGAAGAGAGGAGGGGCTTCAAGATGGCTAACTAGATGCATCTGGCACTCATCTCCTTCACAAAAAGTAACAAAAGTAGTGAGTAGACAAGCTACATTTTGAATTGATCATTTAAGAGAGAATACTGGAATTCAACAGAGTAGTGACAGAAAACACTTAAAGCAAGGAAGGAGAGGGAAATAAGACATCCTTCTTGGCTGAGAATGGTTAGGAGCCTGGAGAAGCTCCCCAATGTGGGGAAAGGGTAAGTGGTCCATATTTCCACTGCAGACTCCTGCAGCCTAGCCATGGGAGAGCCCCTCAACTATCACAGGCCCCGAGACTAACATTGAGAGCTGCCTGTAGACTGTGCAATGGCATTTCTCCAGAGAGGGATCTTATGCGGAGTCTCACATGCCCCTGAGCCGTAGTGGCTGCAGCACAGTGCCACTGTGAGGGCCCAGCCCCCACCAGACTGTATCCTGCCCTAGGGCCCAACAGCCCCTGCATCTCCATGTCTCTGGAGCCCCTGCCTGCAGCCACCACTGCTGCTGGCTGCTGCTGCCAGGGCCAAGGTAGGAGCCACTGGCAGCGCCCCTCCCCCGATCCCCGGCCAGCAGAGGGGCACTCACACATGTTTATGTGCCTCAAGGACAAACTCCACTGTTCGCAGCTAATTGCTGCTATAAACTGCTGCTGCTGGGGCCAAAGCATGAGCAAATCATGCCCCTGCCCCAGCTGGCTGCCTATGGTTGCTCCCACCGAAAGCAATCCCATCCTCCGCAGTAGTGGACAGCAGTGTAGTCACTGCTGCCTTCACCTGAGCTTTCCATCAGCAGCCTGGGGATTGCTTCACTGCTGCCTTTTATAGCCAGATACTGCATGCACCACCAGAGAGTCAAAGAACAGGTCTGCACAGGCCTGCTCTCTGCCAGTGCAGTACTTGAGCGTGCCACTTGGGGCCTGGTGATTGCCCAGCCCAGTTCAGTCCATCACCACTGACACAACAGCATTCCTCCCAGAGAGCTGCGGTTGGGACTACCCATTCTGCTGCCACCATCATAGTTGGCATCCACCCTCATGTACCAGCTACAGGCCTGGGACTGGCCTGCCCAGTCCATTGCAACCACTGCCAACACCAGCACAGGTACTTGGGACCCAGAGTGTTGTCCTGCCAACACCCACACCAATCTGCCTACCTGCCTGGTTAACCACTACCATTTCTAGCACCCAAGCAAGACACCTGAAGGCCAAAGAACCAGCCTGCCTGGACACACTAACACCAGTGCCAGTGTATGCTGCCTTGGGACCCAGGGACAGATATGTCCAACCCACTTCTGTCACCACTGGGGCCTGAAGGCTGGCCCATCTGGTATCCTAGTCCCCAGGAAAACTTCACTACAGCCTCCACTAACGACCGTATCCTAATCTGCTGGGGAAGCCACAGATACTACTGACACTGGTTCCAGCAAAATAAATCATATGGAGACTACACTAATGTACATACCCAGAATCAAAGCCAAAGCACTCTACCTAACGAACATCATAGAAACACCTTACTTTCATAGGGGAGAACTTTTTCCTCCCCTATGAAAGTAAATTCAGAGGCCGGGAGCAGTGGCTCATGCCTGTAATCTCAGCACTTTGGAAGGCTGAGGCAAGCAGATCAGCTGAGGTCAAGAGTTCGAGACCAACCTGACCAACTAAAAATACAAAATTAGCCAGGCGTGGTGGTGCATGCCTGCAATCCCAGCTACTTGGGAGGCTGAGGCAGGAGAATCGCTTAAACCTGGGAGGTGGAGGTTGCAGTGAACCAAGATCACGCCATTGCACTCCAGCCATGAGAGGATACAGAAAAACAATACCCAAATTAGAAAACAATTCAGGGTATGAATGAGAGAAGTTCACCAAAGAGATAGAGATAATAAAAAAGAACCAAACAGATTCTGGATCTGAAGAATTCATAAAATAAAATACACTTGAAAACTTCAACAATAGACTAAATCAAGCAGAAGGAAGAATCTCAGAATTTGAAGACAGGTCCTTTGAAATAACCTAGTCAGATAAAAATAAAGAAAAAAGAATGCAAAAAGCCTATGTGACATATGGGATACCATAAAGCAAGAAGGCAAAGAGAAAATGAGTGTTAGAAAACCTATTTAATGAAACACGGCCAGATGCAGTGGCTCATGCCTCTAATCACAGCACTTTGGGAGGCCGAGGAGGGAAGACTGCTTGAGCTCATGAGTTCAAGGCCAGCCTGGGCAACATGGCAAAATCCCATCTCTATAAAAATACAAAAATTAGCTGGGTGTCGTGGCATGCTCCTGTAATTCCAGCTACTCAGGAGGCTAAGGCAGGAGGATCGTCTGAGCCCTGGAGGCAGAGGTTGCAGTGAGCTGAGATTGTGCCACTGTACTTCAGCCTTAGCAACAGAGCCAGATCCTGCCTTAAAAAAAAAGAAAAGAAAAGAAAAAGAAGACCTATTTAATGAAACAATAGATGAAACTTCCCAAGTCTAGCAAGAGATTTAGACATCCAGATATAGGAAGCCCAGAATTCTCCAAATAGATACAATTCAACAAAGGACTTCTCCACAGCACATTACAGTCAAATTGTCAAACATCAAAGACAAAGAAAGAATCTAAAATTAGCAAGAGAAAAGCATGTAGTCACCTATAAAGGAACCCCTGTCAGACTAACAGTTAATTTCTCCACAGAAATCTTATAGGCCAGGAGAGAATGGGATGATATATTCAAAGGACTGAAAGAAAACAAAACAACAACAAAAACGTTGTCATCCAAGGATTCTATACCCTGCAAAGTTATCCTTCAAAAACAAAGGAAAAACAAAGTCTTTCCCAGACATACAAAAGCTGAGGGAATTCATTACCACTAGACTGGCCCTAAAAGAAATGCTTAAGTGAGTCCACTGAGAAGCAAAAGTACAAT